GGGTGATAGCCATACACTCCGTGTCTCGGCTTCGGTCCCTCGTTGTCGATTCCGCCTTTGTTCCACATGGGCGCCGTGGCACGGCAGCTGTGGACAAGAAGCTCCGTGCATGGAGGCCCTGGGTATCACCATCTGTGTCCAGCGGCTTTTGGTTGCGCCCCCATCCTCTCATTCACCAGTCTCTGCGGCTTTTAGCTGCGCCCCCTTTTTTCAACAGCATAAATTGCACCGAGTGGTACAGCTTTCCGTGGCCCATGCTCGTTCGCTCTTCTCGGCGCGGCCACGAGCATGGAGAGGGAATTTGCGACGAGGGGCGTGGAGAGATCATCGGCATCTACTGCGGCGTTGCGCAGTGTGGCCGCTAGTTGTCCCTCCGCGCCTGGAAGCCAACACCGACGACGGAGACTGCTGCGACGCCTGATCCGACTCCGACTGCGTCGCCTGCGCCGACGACAGAGCCGATAACGACGCCTGATCCGACTCCGACTGCGACGCCAGCGCCGACGACAGAGCCGACTGCGATGCCTGATCCGTCTTCGACTGCGACGCCAGCGCCGACGACGGTGCCGACGGCGACGCCTTTCCCGACTCCGACTGCGACGCCAGCGCCGACGACGAAGCCGACTGCGACGCCTGATCCGGCTTCGACTGCGACGCCAGCGCCGACGACGGAGCCGACGGTGACGCCCAATCCGACTCCGACATGCATCCCAGTTTGCGTGTCGCAGGGGCTCGTGTGCGGAGACGACGGTGCGGTGTCTCGGGCGGCCAGTGCTCGTTGCCAGAGTACTGCACGGGCAGCGTGGCAGGGGTGTCTGGGTGCAGCTGTCAGTCATACGCTCGGTGTCCCGATGTTTGGCCTCGTCAAGTGAGCGGCCCCGCGTCGAGTGGTTCAGCCTTCTGCAGTTCGTGGTCGCTCTCTTCAGAGCAGCCCCGGCTACCAGCCCTCGTCAGCGCAGCTGTCAGCCATACTCTCGGTGTCTCGGCGTTTGGCTTTGTCAAGTGAGCGACCCTGCGTTGAGTGGTTCAGCCTTCTGCAGTTCGTGGTCGCTCTCTTCTGAACAGCCCCGGCTACCAGCCCTCGTCAGTAAGTCGCATCGCTGTGCCCCCGAACTGCGAGCCGGATACGATGCGCATGCGCTGGCTACCGGCTGGAGGTGGCTCAGCCTCGTGAGCGCACACCAGTGGTCTTTCTCTACTGGATGGCGCTCTGACGTGGTCTAGCCACGCCTCTGCAAGTGAACGGCCCTGCATTGAGTGGTTCAGCCTTCTGCAGTTCGTGGTCGCTCTCCTCAGAGCAGCCCCGGCTACCAGCCCTCGTCAGTACCGTGCATCGTGGCGCCCCCGATCTGCGTGTGTCAGAGACGATGTGCTCGCATTGGCTCGTTTGCCCGGGGTGCTGCTATGAGTCTGAGTTCGTCGCTCGCGCTCGCTTTCTTCCCCCTCTCCTGCCTCTTGCCCCGCTTCGCCCCCTCCCCCCTCTCTTGCCCCCGCTTGCGGTTCGGCTGGAGCTTGGCGCCGCACGGGCGGTTTCTCCCTCCGTACCGCCTGGTCTCCGCGCCTCTGCGTCACCACCTGCTGGGATGCCTGAGCCGGTCACTTCTGATGAGGGTCATTTTGTCCCTGGCACGTGCATTCGCCTATGCGGCCTACGCGCCACTGCGGCCAATTATCTACGTCCTGCGCCCCAGACGTTTATCCCGATCCGTGGACTTCTCCTTGGAGCCGCGAGCCAAAAAAACACGTACCCCCACCAGTGCCGCCTGCCCCGGACTTTGCCCTTCGCCGCCAGACCGTTGTCGCGCGGCCGCAGACCAAAAAAAATATCCCCACCAACCCATCCAGAAACGATGTCCGGGCGAGTTGAGGTGACCAGGGAAGTGCGGCAGCAAAGAGGAATACGGCCGAACCGTGCAAAGGAGTGAGGAGGAGAAAGAGGAGGTGGATGGATGGATCAATGGATGAGGGAGTGGGAAGAAGGATGATGAACAGGATGAGGGGGAGGCGGAGGAGGAGGAGGAGGAGGAAGAGAAGGAATAGGAACAGGAAGGAGGAACAGGACGAGGAGGAGGAGGGCAAACACAAGGGCCAGAGCTCTCTTGGATGCCTCTCGGAGCCTCTTGGGGTATCTCTTGGGCGATTTTTGGTGGCCTCTTGGGACGTCTTGGGGGTCTCTTGGCAATCCTGGGGCTATTCGGATGTCTTGGGTGCCTCGGGGGTGCCTCTTGGGGCCGCTTAAGGTCTTCTTGGGGGCCGCCTGGAGGCCTTTTGGGGGCCTCGTGGGGTTATCTTGGAGCCATTTTGGGACCTCTTGGAGCCTCCTGGGCGGTTTTTGGGGCCATCTTGGAGGAGATCGGTCAACAAAGGGGGGTCCCTCAATTAAGGTCCCCCCCCGAGGAGGCCAACATAGGGGCCAACACCTTAGTAAAATCAGTGATGTTGGCTTCCTCGCCGAGGCCGTTTTGAACGCCCTGACACCTCGCGGCCCCCCCCCCTATCCAGGTCCATGAGGAGGGGGTAGGGGGAGGGGTCAAGACCCCCTGTCCCGCCCGCAAGCCGTCTCGCTCACTCCTACCCGCCGTCCCAACACATACGTAGCACCCGAGTCTGGCCCGAGCTTCGGCATACTCAGCAGTCGTCTTTGGATGGGTAGCTACTGGGGGCCAATCCGCCACCGCCGCCTCCGCCGCCGCCGCCGCCGCCGCTGCCGCCGCCGCCGCCGCAGCCGCTGCCGCTACCGCCACCGCCGCCGCCGCCACCGCCGCCACCGCCGCCGCCGCCGCAGCCGCCGCAGCCGCCGCAGCCGCCGCAGCAGCCGCCGCCGCCCCCGCCAAGTGTATTCTGTATTGTATGTTTGACAGGGATGGTGGGGGGGGGCGCATCGGGTTGGCTGCGCATGTTCCGAATTTGGAAGCAGAGTGTGTTTTGTATTGTTTGTTTAAAGGTGATTGTGGGGGGGTGTCGTCATGGACCTGGGTTGGCCCCCAGTCGCCTGGGGGAGGGGGTGTTTATTAATAGGGAACAGTGATAAGCCCCTCCCCGAAGGGGAAGAAGGAGGGGTGGAAGAGGAAACGCCCTAAACCACCGACGCCCAGAGGGCTGGTGGGATTCTCACCATGAGTTCCTTATTCAGCCACGCACCCAGGGACAATTGAATGACCTTTCGGCCCCCTCTGGCTAGTAAGAGGAGGAGGAGGAGGAGGAGGAGGAGGAGGAGGAGGAGGAGCAGGAGCAGGAGCAGGAGCAGGAGCAGGAGCAGGAGCAGGAGGAGGAGGAGGAGGAGGATATGCAAGGCTCCCAAGAGCGAGCGGTGACTCAACGAGCTTTTGCCACCAAGGCTCCCAAGAGCGAGCTGAAGAGAAAGCGGTAACGCAACAAGCTCTTCCCGGCACGGCTCCCAATACAGAGCGGTGACATAACACGCGTTTGCCAGCAAGGCTTCCAAGAACGAGCGGTGACGCAACAAGCTCTTACCACCAAGGCTACCAAGAGCGAAGGGTGCCATGAGCCATGTCGGGCAGGTTGCTAAAGCGCTCTTTCCGTTCCCGTGCCGGCCCAGGTCTAGTCGCCTTCGGCCCATCTCGCCACCGTGCTTGGGTTGTGGGTCAGACTCTGCATGAATGCTTCTTGGGGTCTCTTCGGAGGGCTCGCGGTGGCCTCTGTTGGAGAGTTTTCACGCCTCTTGGGGGCCTCTTGGGTGCCTCTTGTGGGGCTCCTGGGGGCCTCATGAGGGCCTCTTGAGGGCCTCTTTGGCCTCCTCCTGGAGGCCTCTTGGGGCGGAGAGCTCGAAACGTCGGTTCATGTTCCCCCGCTGGAATCCTTCTTGGGGTGTTATTCGGCCCTTCTACAGCCGTCTTGGAAGCCTCTTGGGCCGTCTTAAGGGCCTCTTAGGCCGTCTCGGCACCCTCTTGGGGGCCTCTTGGGCCGTCTGAGGCGATCTTGGGTGCCTCTAGGGCCGTCTTGGAGCGTCGGGAGCCCGAAAAAGCGGGAACGCCAAACATTTTTTTTTGTAATAAGCGTTCGGACAATTATTGACAGTTGCTTCCTGGGGCTTTTTTGGGAGTGTTCTTGGAGGCCTACTGGGCCGTCTGGAGGCCATCTTGGGCGTCTTGAAGCGATAGTTCGGCGAATCGGAGCCATTTTGGACACATCGGAGGGCTCGCCAGGTCGTTTCGGGCGGGCACAGCGTCCAGAGGACCAGCAGGAAACACCGCAGAATTCACGGGGAAAATCCTGGAAGACCCCAGGACGGCCTGGACTTCTGAAATTCTGGACCCTGAAGAAACTATAATCTTGGTTGCAGCAGCAGCACAGTTGTGAGCTCTGGAGCACTCCACTTCGTTCCAGAGTCACGGTAGCAGATAGGTTGTCAACATGGAGCGTTATTTCAGCAATAGTTCGGCCATTATTGTTTAGGCCCCCGCTGGAGTGGACCACGTAGTGACACGCCGCGCAGAGCCGCCAATTATGGCCATATACCAAGTGCCAATGTTTGCGTAGATGTGTAGACATATAGAGATATGACTGTGTATATATGTGTACATACATATGTACAAATGTGTATGTATATATAATGTAGATGGAAACATCTGTCTGACCTGCCTCGCCAAGCAATGCGATGGCTGTGCGCAATTCCAGTTCTTTGCCTCCGTAGTGGTGCGCCATGGTCTGATCTCTCATCATGTGCGTGGAGCGCTTCTGCATATCATGCTTCTAGGCTGGGCCCAAGGCGCGAGCGCTTTGCTCAGAGGTTGACAAGCTGATCCTCTACACTCTGCATCGGCCGCTTGCCTCATCCGACCTGTCACGGAGCGCACTCTGACCAGGACTTCGAGGTGAGTCCAGCCCTTGCGACAGGGCCACTCAGGCGGCCAAGAAGGCAAAACACGTTCAACTGCCTCTCATGCCCGCCCCCCTCCTTCCCATCCTGCTCCTCTTTCCCCAACGCTGGTCGTTCGGTTTGCTCCCGAGCACGCCAGCTGCGCAGCGAAACCCACCAGGTGGCCTCGCTGTGGATGTGCACGGAGCTGCGCGACCTGACGCTGCGTTGCAATCCTGTCTGCGAGGCGGGGTGCGCGTTGCGGCAACCGCTGCGGGGCTACTTGTCAGCATCGGCGGAGAAGAGTTCTGAGAGGGCGTCGTCGTCGGCGGCGACGTCGTCATTTGTGGCGTTCTTGGGGGTTCTTGTCCGCTCGGCTGGACGCAGCAGGGTAACTGACCAGGATGACCATGGGACGGGCTCGCGTGCCGGCCTTGGAGCGGGCGGGAAGGAGGAGGAGGAGGAGGAGCAGCAGGAGGAGGAGGAGGAGGAGGAGGAGGAGGCGCAGGAGCATGTTGTTGATGATGATGATGAGGAGGAGGAGGAGGAGGAGGAGGAGGAGGAGGAGGATCTGTGCGGGGCCAGGGCGAAGGCCTTCTCGCGAGGCACGGGATTCCCCAGGGGGCATTGTTCCCCAGGAGGCACTGTTCCCCAGGCTGGCGCGCGTCGGCGCCCCTGGGGCAGAGGGCTCTCTCCAACGCCGAAGGTCCCCCGCGCGCGGCCACTGCGGGCTCCTGCGACGCGCGGAGGCGCGCGGAGGACGCGGCCCTGGCTGCCGCGAGTGCCACCGGACCGACGCCTGGGGGGTCGCCGCAGCGCCGTGCAGTCCGCGGCCTTGCGAGAAGCGCCCGCGCCGTTTTGCGTTCCCGAACGGCCGCCCTCCGGATCCTCATTGCGCCCCAGCAAGCCGGCCCGTTTGTCCTCGATGTCCTTCCTCCTCCTTCCCCACCCCTCTTCGTCCCCCCTCCTTCTTCTTCCCTGCATCCCTCCCTCACTCCCCATGCTCTCTCGCCACCTCTTCTCATTCCCGCCCCCGTCCATGCCCCTCCCCGCATCCCCTCCTCCCTTCCCCTCCCCACGCCTTCTTTCTTCTTCCTCCCTCCTCCTCTCCACCCCTCCGCCGTCGCTTACCGTCGGCGTTGACCCCCTCAGCTTCGTGCCGCAAGGGACAGCAATACACTACGTACGTCAGACATCTACGTATGTTGAGCCGCGCCTCGGATGCACCGTGACGTCGGCGCAGATGGTGCACACTGGCGTTTCTCATGGGACATTTCCAGATTATCTTCCCGCCAGCTTCGCACTTCGAAACTCTCACGGTGGAAGGAGCCGGGGCAAGCCGCTCCGATGGCCGTTCGTTCGATCTTCGCCTGCACCCACGCTATGGTGGCGACTCAGTGATCTCAGCTCCTGAACGTCTCCTCCTACAACCCTCGTCAAAAGTAAACTGAGGGATTATGTTTTCGGTGATTGTATGGTCAGCGCTACTCCAATGCTGACGCTAGATATCTGACGTGGACGCAAGGGCTTCAAAAATCCGACGACCCCATCCGCAGCATTGAAGAACGCAGTTCTATCAAGTGCCCGAGAAGATCGATCGTCGTGATTTCCAACTGCGTTTCTGTTTATTTATGACGAGGCTTGTAGGACCACTCGGCGACGGTCGAACATCGCCGGCAGCGCGCGGACATGGCGGAGAGCTGGTACGCATTTGGGTGTCATCCGACTCGAACGCGCTCACGAGGCTCGTGGCCGCCGTTCCTCGACTGCCTGCTCCGCAGCTGCGTCCGGTGAGCCTCACGTTCGTGGCGCCGATCCCCCAACTCCCTGCGGTGAGGAGGAGGAGGAGGAGGAGGAGGAGGAGGAGGAGGAGGAGGAGGAGGAGGAGGAGGAGGAGAGGAGGAGGAGGAGGAGGAGGAGGAGGAGGAGGAGGAGGAGGAGGAGGAGGTGGCCGCCCTCCCCCAACTCCCTGCCGAAGAGTTGTTTGATAAATAGCGGCAACCTCTTTTTGGACAGAAGCCCGAGTACCCCGCTCTGGAGCGCAACGTGGACCTCGTCTTGCAGCCGGTGGAATTCGTCCTTCCAGGCCCTTCCGCCCCACGATCGATATGTCCGGGCAGGTCTGGCGTGTTTTACGCTCTCGCGAGGGAGAGCGCTCGCACGACTCCTGCGATCCTGTCCCCGCTGACGCTGATAATGCAAGTCTCAGCGGCACACTCCTTGGGGGGTTGACCTCCCCGCCGAGATCCTATCCACGTTCCTGTTCAGGATGGCGGGCCCCGAGGTTCGTTCCAATCCTGTGCCGTTGCTGTGCCGGCAACCCCGGAGGAGGTTGAGCCGCTCGCAGAGTGTCGGCATGGCCTCCCAGGGCCCTTGCACCCTCATCGCACGTCCTTATTGAACGAGTTTACTGCAAGGTGATCTGCATAGTGTAACAGGGTTGCCGATAACTCAGCTGGCGTCGGTGGACTGGCATGAGCTACAAGGAGGTAAACTTGTCACTGTGCTCTTCGCGGCATCGAGCAGCTTTCAACGGGCGCGGGAATCGCCATGAGCGTGGAATTCGACGCTAGCGCGCCGGGACAGCTGTGACATCAGCGCGCCGGGGCAGCTACTGCATCAACGCGTTGGGACAGATCCTTAACCAGCGCGCCAGGACAGCCATTCGACCCTCGGCGAACTCGAGGGCATCGGAGGGGCTTCGGGTTTTGGTTGGTCAGCGGCTGGCTGTTCAAAAGGCCACATGCCGCCGACCGAGGTCCGCGCTTTCCAGAGGTTGGCATGCTTGCCTAGCGTGAACGCCGCGATCGTTTGTTTCGGTGCGGTGAGATGTAGCTTGGTGCGGTTCGTGTCAAGATCACGACGAGCGTTCAACATCTTGCGGGTGTTGATCCACTCGCCGTGTGCAACAATGCATTTTTCCCCACTGTGTGGGTTTGTCTTTCTGTGGCTCTTCGCGCAGGGTGCCAGCGATCTCCCACGGGTTCGATTTCTCATCGAGCAGCGTGCCTGGCGCTGGCCGGGGAAAACCGACGGACGTCGGCGCGGCCCTGAGGGCCCCCACCCCGCCCTGGCTGGGGCTGTCGCCAGCCCCGGCTGCCGCCGCGGCCTGGCGTGGAGGTGGAGTCGAGAGCGAGCAGCGCCCCGGAGGACAGACCGACGCGTGCCTGCGCTGCCAGCCGGCGGGCGTTGCGCCCTGGCATTGGCGGGGGCAACGCTTGGAAGGAGCGATAGTGGCCCTGATGCGCCTGCGGCGTCGCCGCCAGTCTGGGAAGTCGGCGGGCGCGAAATTGCCCGCGCAGAGGGCGGATGCCCGCGAAGTGGTGACCTTCAGGGCGCTCGAGAAGGGCAGGTTCGGCGCCAGGTGGCGCGCCGCCAGGCAGCCGCCCATCGGCCAGGCGGCCCATCGGAGTCAAAGAAAAAAGTCACAAGACAGCTCGCCGCTTGGACCCCACCGCCAGCCCAAACGGCGAGCGTACATCGGAAGTAGCCCCGCACGCAATCGAATGCCCAAACTTCGTCGTCGTACTAATTACTCGTATTCCTCCCCGTCGTTCTCCCTATCCTAATCGTCATCGTCACCGTCCTCCTCGTCCTCCTCATCCTCCTTGTCTTTCTCGTCTTCCTCCTGCTCCAGCTCGGTTTCCTATCGGTTGCACCATAGTTTGCGCCCTCGGCGGCCGAGAATAAAACCGTCTCCTATCGGTTGGGCCACAGGTTGCGCCCTCGGCGGCTGTGAATAAAACCGTCTCCTACTGGTTGCGCCATTTGTTGCGCCCTTGGCGGCCGAGAAAACCGTCTTCTATCAGTTGCGCCGTAGGTTGCGCCCTCGGCTGCCGAGGATAAAAACCATCTCCTATCGGTTGCGCCATAGGTTGCTCCCTCGGCGGCTGTGCATAAAACCGTCCCCTACTGGTTGCGCAATAGGTTGCGCCCTTGGCGGCCGAGAATAAAGCCGTCGCGTAACGAGTGCGACCAGTCTGTTCAGCCCATTTCAGTTCAGTTCAATTCATCCAGTTTACTTCGCGAGAAACAAATTCGGGCTACGCCCGAAAACGCATAAACTTCAGTGTAACAGCATAAACCCAGTTTCTCGTGAACGTTCCAAGTCCCATGCTCTGCCTTCTTTGGTACAGGGGGGAGCCAGCGCGCGTGTCACATCTGTAAGTTTCCACATCAGCTGCGTGAGAGCGCGACCGCGTGCGACTGCGCGCGGCTGTCATTTATGGTAGGGGCGTCGTCGTGGTTCGGACATCGCTGCCCTTTGCAGCGAATGTAATTGCACTCGCGGACCAGATTTGGGTGGCACGGCGCGGGTCCAGGAACGGGCCGCCGCCCCGTTAAGGTAAATGCTTGAGCCCCTGTTGCGGACCCTTCTTTAACAAGCCCACGGCAACTTCCAAATCAAACAGAGGAGGGGCTTTGGGACATGCAAGAGGGGAATGTCCCATTCGGTTGGGCGGATCCCGCTTGGCCAAGCGCAGTGCTGTTTTTGGCGTGGCTGTTCTGCCAGACGGCTCGGGCGCCCCAGGCGAACCTGAAGTTCTCGTCGGTTGTCTGGGAAGTCCGCTCCCGACAAGTTCATGTTCCGTTTCCGCAGGACTCCTTCGATTTCCCACGACAAGTTTTCAAGTTTTCGCGCGGAATAAGATTTTTCAGGGCGGGGGAATGTTTATAGTAGTCTCTTGTGTGCTCGGCTTTATGCACGTTTCGCGCATAAGCTTTCGGCTGCCTGGTTTCGGGGACAAAGTGTTTTCATTCAGAATGGATGAGTCAATTCTGCTTCTACTCGACCGGCCGCAGGAAGATGCGTCTTCGACGGCAGGATTGCCCCGCCGACCCGCAGAACAGCGCCGCGCTGAGGAGGGGCTTTCGGCTAGCGAAAAGCAACTGGACTTCGCGTGCGATTCGCGAGGCCGTTCGGGAAGGTACCCGTTCAAGGGTTGCGAGCACAGGGGCCCCGGAAGCGTCGTGCCCAGATTCCCATTCTTCCCCACCATCATTATTATTTTCGTCCTCCTCTTTCCTTCCGTCGTTTTCAAGCTTTGCGCCTCATGTTTCGGATCCGCGTTCGTTTCATCCATCCTGTTCCACCTCTCGGTTGCCACTTGATTCTCGCCCGCTCTTGGCCTTGTCGGCTACGTTTGTTTCCCCGGGGCTCGGCGCGCGCGCTCTCTGATTGGTTTTTGCGCCACGTTCGATCAACTCCCGCGCGCGGGGTTTCGGGCAGCAGTGGTGCGCTCGCGCCAAATGGTCTGCGATTGGTATGTGTCATACTTATGCGTTTTTTTATAATATGGAGGCCTCAGTGCAACGAGACCCCCTCCCCCCCCTTCTCCATTTTCCTCCTCCCTCCTTTTTCTCGCCCTCTGCCCTTCCCAAAGGATGTCCCAGAAAGTGCATGCCCGATATGTCGGAAGCAGTTGGAAAACGCAGGGGTACCGAAGCTCCTCGCCCTAGCCGCTCGGCGGACTGGGCCGACCAGATGACCGCGAACGGCCCACACACTGGGGGGGAGGAGTGAGGGAGAGGCGCGCTCCGCTACTAGGGGATACCGCTTGATCTGCGATCGGACAGTCGTCCCGTCAAGGCCGTGCCTCCCGCTCCACCTCGGCGCGACGCCATCGTAACGGCGCGACCGGTGCCCCTCCTCGTTCCACAGCGCGACAGAGGGGCACCCCAGACCCCCCAGCCACCCAGAGGGGGCGCGAAGACCATAGCGTCTCGCGGTGCGCGGCACGGTCCGAAGAGCTGCCCGGTCCCGCGGGTGCGGCGCGAGGGCGAGAGCATGCTGCGGCCCTCGCAGTGCGACACGCGAAGTCACAGGTCAACTAGATCCATTCAGCGTCAAGGTCCAGGCGAGGCGAACTACGCATTGTAGCCAGATGCCTGTGTGAATGTCAGACCCCTCCCTCCTTTATAATAACGTATTTTCCACCTCACCAGGGAGTAGGATGACAAAGACGAGAAGGAGGGGGGAGGAGGATTTGAGGACGTCAGCAAAGTTTCCCTGATGTTGGACAGCGGTTGGTCACGATGTGCAGACAGCTGCGTTTCGCCGATCCGCAATCCACGGGTACAACTGGGAGCTGGGTTTCTTCCCATCGCTTCCCCATCTAACTACTCTCTCTTGGCTTTTGTGTTTGCCGTCGTTGCTCAACGTGTTGATGTGCTATTTTGATCCATCTGGGCAGGCAGAGTCGTTCTCCCGCAGCGCGGTCCTCGAGCTCTTGCCGCAGCTGGCGGTGCGGACCGACCTTCCGTGCTCGTCTGTCTGTTGGCAAGCATTACTCAGTTGCGGCTAAGCTCGCGGTTCAGTCCTGGCGCTACCCACCGTTATACAGCTTCGTGCGGCATGTCCCTCCAGCGTGGTAGCTCAGCGCTCCGGGTGGCGCCTGTTTCGCGGGTTGCACAGGGGTCTGTAACTTATGGCACATCGTGCCCCCAAGCCTGGGGGCGCCGCAGCGTGTAACACGCTATGATTTGTGTTGTGCGTCGGCCTCATCCAGTCTTACGGATCCCTTTTCTCCACGTTCTTTCAGCCCCGCCCCGCCGTTTCTCCTCCTTCCCCATCCTCTGTGCAGCGACGGTTGGAGCAACGCCCGGAAAGTCGTAACATGTTGCACCCTTCGTCTCTATATACCATGTGCGGGGCTCTGATGGGGCTTGCCTACAGGTTGTTGTGGACGTTGCTGTCTTGGGTTGTTGTGGGGGCGTCTTCGGGCCCTCTTGGGACCCTCTTGGGCACTGTTGCGGCTCACTTGGGCCAGGAGCGTCTTCTGTCTTTCCCAGTTGTCTGAGGAGTATCTGGAGGCTGTCTTGGGGGCCAATTCGGACGTCTTGTTGACGCTCTCTTGGGCTGTCCTGGGCCCCTGTTCGGCCCTCTTGGGGCTCGCTTGTGGCTATCTGCGGCCGTCTGAGGGTGTCCTTGGAGTGTTCCTGCTTGTTATGATGGCATCTCTTCGGCCCCTCCGAGATCCTCTTGTATACATCTTGAGCACTGACGCAGTCGAAACTCAAAGTGCAAAATCAGAGACTCCCCGCTGTAATTGCCCAGCGGAGAACCGCGGGCAGCGCGTCCTCTTCTTCGTCCTCCTCATCGGCCTCCTCCTCATTTTCCAGGCCCTCCATCTTTCTATCGTGCCACTGGGTTTCCTCCTCTGGCACCTGCTCCTGCAATCCCCCGAAACACGACCACCCCTGCATTCCCCTCCTCGTCGCCGTTCTCCTCCTCCTTACGGTGCTGCCCATTCTCCTGTTCCTGCTCCCACTCTTCCTCCTCTTCCTCTCCCTCCTCCTCTTCCTGTTATTGTTGCGCCCTCGGGCGAGTTGCAATGTGTCGCTTGGTTGCGGTTGTTGTTGCGCCTGCGGGCTGGTTGAAATGTGTGGCTTGATTGCGTTTGTGGTTGCGCCCGCAGGCGGGTTGGAATGTGTCGTTTGGTTGCGCTTGCGGTTGCGCCAGCGGGCGTGTTGAAACATGTCGCCTGGTTGCGGTTGCGGTTGCGCCCGCGGGCGAGTTGGATTGTGTCGTTTGGTTGCAGTTTTGGGTGCCCCGCGTTCGGTTTGAAATGTGTCGTTTGGTTGCGCATGCGGTTGCACCCGCGTGCGGGTTGAAATGAGTCGTTTGGTTGCGCTTGCGGTTGCCCTCTCGGGCGTGTTGAAATGTGTCGCTTGGTTGCGCTTGTGAATGCGCCCGCGGGCGGGTTGGAATGTGTCGCTCGGTCGTGGTTGCGGTTGCGCCCGCGGGCGTGTTTTTAAATGTGTCGATTGGTTGCGCTTGTTGCTGCGCCTGCGGGCGGGTTGAAATGTGTCGATTGGTTGCGTTTGCTGTCGCGGCTCGCGTTCGGGCTGAAATGTGTCGCTTGATTGCGCTTGTGGTTGCGCCCGCGGGCGTGTTGAAATGTGTCGCCTGGTTGCGGTTGCGGTTGCGCCAGCGGAGGGTGAAATGTGTCGTTTGGTTGTGGTTGCGGTTGCGGTTGCGCCCGCGGGCGGGCTGAATTGTGTCGTTTGGTTGCGGTTGCGATTGCGCCAGTGTGCGGATTGACATGTGTCGATTGGTTGCAGTTGCGGGTGCGCCCGTTGGCGTGTTGAAGTGTGTCGCTTGGTTGCGGTTGCGGTTGCGCCCGCGGGCGGGTTGGAATGTGCCCTTTGTTTGCGCTTGTGGTTGCGCCCGCGGGCGGGTTGAAATGTGTCGCCGGGTTGCGGTTGCGGTTTCGCCCGCGGGCGTGTTGAAACATGTCGCTTGGTTGCGGTTGCGGGTGCCGCCCGGGCTGGTTGAAATGTGTTGTCAAAAGTGCCCTTCCAGTTCAGTCAGTTCAGTGCAGGTTCAATTTGTCAGTCAGCGGAGGGCACGGAATTTCACCCGAGCCTGTCGGGAAACACCCATTGATGTTTGAATAATGTTAGCCGCCTTGGAGTGCATCGTTGCCTTCTGTGTGGCGCCATGAATATGATTGGAACCCCTTTGGACGATCTTCCCGGGGGACGTTGGGTGCCTGTTGAGGCAATGTTGTGCCATCTTGGCGGCCTTGGACACCTTCTGGGCCGTCCTCGAAGGAGGAAAGCTGTCGAGAGCCCCAGAGAAGCGTCGGGCCGCCCAGGAAGCCTCAGAAGAGGGGGGGTGCATTCGGCTTGGTCTAGGGGAGCGCTTAGAAGAAGGATAGAGAGGTAGAAACCATACCAGACAGAATTGGGCTCTATACCACGCCTTACCGCGCCAGGAGGCACGGTGGCGTATACCTCCACTCATGAAACATTGGCATGAGTACGACCTGTGTGTTTCGCGTTGATTATGCCATTTGTTGCGTCGTGAGATCGTCGTCGTCGACGGCGGTCGTCGTTGTCGTCGTCGTCGTCTTCGTCCTCGTTGTCGCACGTGCGTCGTCGTTGGCTGCAGCCGTTTCGTCGTCGTTTGCTAAGCGACGGGGGGCGTCCTGGTTCCAGAGTCCCAGCCATCCCGCCGAGGGGAGGTGGGGGGGGGCGGGGAGGGGCCGGGCGCCTCCCTGTTTGGAGAGAGAGGGGGAGGAAGAGGGCGAGAGAGGGAGATAGAGCAATGCCATTTCCCAACCATCCTGCGTTGAATTCGGGCTACGTGTTGAGTCCACTGCGCTCGCAGGCGATCTTTCTCCCCCAACCCCCGACTTCTCGACGAAAAAGAAGCCGCTCAGAAAGGGAGGGAAACTCTGGGATGCACCCCAAGGAGGCTGTTCGGATGCACCCCTGTCGCGGATGGACGCCCCCCCATCGTACATCCCAGGGTCGGGCCCGAAATGTCGGGTCCATTCTAAAACCGTCCAAAGCCTGGGGTAGGGGTCGACATATCCCCCGTTATGCGCCGCTCATCCGCCGCCCACGTCGGGGCTCTCCTCACGCGCTTCGTGGCCCCGTGGAGGGTCTGCCTGCTCCCCGTCCACGCTGCCTGGGCTCCGTGCCTCTCGCGCCGCACTGCCTTTGGGTCGGGCACGTCCCCGCACAGGCGGAGCTTGGGCGAAAAATAAAAACAGAGCGCGTTCTGTGGTCGCTTGGAGAGGGGGTTGGAACCGGACCCCCCCCTCCCCCCCCCTGGATTGAGGGGGGGGGTTCGAACCCCCCCCCTCCCTCCCGTGACGGCCCATCCCCTGGTTTGAAACGCTCCGCCGAATGTTTCCAAGGCGAGCGCTTGTGAAACGCGCTCCCTCAAAATAAATTATCCCAGTGCGACCCTACCTAGGAGTTGGAGCCCCTAGGAAAGCAGCATTAGTAGTAACAGTAAAGCTAAACTAGCTAAGCTAAAGCTAAGCTAAAGCTAAGCTAAAGCTAAGCTGAAGCTAAGCTAAAGCTAAGCTAACACTAAGCTAAAGCTGAAGCTGAAGCTAAGCTGAAGCTAAGATAAAGCTAAGCTAAAGCTAATATAAAGCTAAGCTAAAGCTAAGCTAAAGCTAAGCTGAAGCTAAGATGAAGCTAAGCGAAAGCTAAGCTAAAGCTAAGCTAATGCTAAGCCAAAGCTAAGCTAAAGCTAAGCTAAAGCTACGCTGAAGCTAAGCTGAAGCTAAGCTAAAGCTAAGCTAAAGCTAAGCTAACGCTAAGCTAAATCTAAGCTAAAGCTAAGCTAAAGCTAAGCTGAAGCCAAGTTAAAGCTAAGCTACAGCTAAGCTAAAGCTGAGCTAAAGCTAAGCTAACGCTAAGCTATCACTAAGCTAACGCAAAGCTAACACTAAGCTGAAGCTAAGCTAACGCTAAGCTAAAGCTAAGCTAAATCTAAGCTAACACTAAGCTGAAGCTAAGCTAAAGCTAGGCTAAAGCTAAGCTAAGGCTAAGCTAGCACTAAGCTAAAACTAAGCTAAAGCTAAGCTGACGCTAAGCTAAAGCTAAGCTAACATTAAGCTGAAGCTAAGCTAAAGCTAAGCTAAAGCTAAGCTAACACTAAGCTAAGCTAAAGCTAAAGCTAAGGCTAAAGCTCCCAGGGGGACTGGGGGAACCGCGGGGCGGGGACTGGGGGAACCGCCCGGGGCGGTTTCCATTGCCCAGCCCCTTTAAGCTAAGAGAGTAAGAACCCTTCTAGGCAGAGCCTGGGTAGGGAAAAAGCCCCTCAAGTGCTCCCAACAACTCACCGTAGCCATTTTGGTTCAAGACGGGAGCTCCTCCCCGTCCCGACTCCAGAGGCTCGAGGCCGAGGCGGAAGGGCAGCCCCTTCCCAGGCCTGGCTGCCTCGGTCCAGGTTGAGGCGGCTGGGTAGGTAGGCGCAAGCCTCGCCCAGCACGATCTGTCCGATTTTTCTCCTTGCATCCTTCGTCGCTTATGGGCGGCGGTCGACGCCAGCGGAGACGTGAGGAGTGCAGTCTCACTACAAGCCGTTCAATTTCGCCTCGCACTTTATCGGTTTCGCGCAGTCGCAGCGATCGTGAGTCGCGAGATATATCCAGGGCCCCGTCCACTCCGCCGAGCTGGATGATTTACCTGATTACGGGCATCAAGCAGAACGACAGCCGACTGGAGCAGATGAAGATGACGATGGTGACACAGATTTCGGGTATGCGTGAGAGTATTTCGGCACACGAGGGCAGCACTGCCCAGGTTGGCCATCTACTACAGACTTTGGAACAGTTGCAGCATGGTGTTCTGAGCGATACGGTCCAATCGGTACTCGGGGAAGTTGTTCAAGATAAGTTGGCTGGGATACAGAATCAATTGGATCAGTTGCAGACCACCTTCCCTGGCTCCATGGTCAAAGAGCGCGTGGACACCATTGAGCAGCATATCCAGGACT